GGAGCAGGGGAAGGTTTGTCAGACGAACCTAGGGAGAGTTACAGTGGGTCACAAGGATGTGCTCTTCTGAAATATTTCCATCTTAGGTGACTAACACACTCCGTCACGTCCCTAATCTACTGTGAGTCAGTAGTGTGTGCTGGCTGAGAAACTAGTCTCTAGGCTTTATGGGTTTTTCTGACTCCTGGAAGTTATATTTTTTCATTATTCTAGAGCTTTTTCAAGCTCACTGGTTTAAGAGAACATGTGGGTGGTGGAATTCTTACTACTACCTTCATCATTGTTTCATGTAAGTTCATTGTAACGTGGGCAAGAAATTATAGCATAGGTCAGCCAGAAAATCTATTTTTTCTACTCTTAATAATTGCTTTTATCTCATAAAATTCTGCAATAAGTTCACAGTATTTATTCTTCATTTTCCCTTTCAATAGTAACTCATCTGAAGGATTTCTTTACTTTTTCACATTACTATACTGCACAATGTTCTACTAAAAATAACTTCACATGGGCAATTGTGTGATTTTGTTGCTTATTCTGCTAAATTTTCCTCATCAAAGTAACGAATGAAAAATTCATTCTAAGATTTTGAATAGCATCTTAACTATTTCTGGAGAGTCTATAAGAACATGGATATTTTATTCACTTGAATACTTTCTACCATTTTGTAGGACATTTGAAGAAGGGAAGCATATTGGGACTTCTTTGTTGCTATAACAAAATACCTGAGTCTAGGAACTTTACAAAGAACAGAACATATTATCTGACAGTTATGGGCATTCAAGATCATGGCAATGGCATGTGCCTGGTTCTGGCAAGAGCTTCACAGTGGATGGCATCACAGTGTTAAGAACATACGCAGAATACATCACATGGTGAGACAGGAGACATGAAGGGTTGTCAACACAGCTGAGCTTACTTTGTAACAATTCATTCTCAAGAGAACTAATCCACTCTTAGGAACAGGCATTGATCCCTTCCAAAGGTAACACTCCTCGATGCAAACATCTCCCACCAGACCCCACCTCTTAAAAGTTCCACCACCTCAGCATCTCTGCAGCAGAAACCAGGTGTCTCGTATGTGCGCCTTTAGGGAAGAACCACATCCAGAGCAGACAGAAAGCCATGATTCTGGCACTGTAAAAAGTTTGGAGGGGGTAAACCCCGGGGAAACGAACCTTCATGTCGAATCCCTTCTTTAATCAGAGGCAGGGTCCACCTCCTCCCTGCTTCTAGCTGTTCACACAAAGCAGCTCCCATAATCCTTCACCAACACAGTTTGATTCCTGCTTGATTCAGACTTGCACATATGGATTGGCTCTGTGGTATCTGTCTTACCTGACCCTTATGCGTGTGGATGCTCACCTGCCTGCTTCAGGGGTGGGACCCTAGGCTTCCACTGAGTGGCAGGCTTATGCTTGCTGTGTGCATGCCTGACTGCATTGTGTCTTCCTCTCGCTTTTCACAGTATCTGAACTGCTCTCGCTCTAACAAAAGCCTCTTTCCTGGCCTCTGGGGGAAGCTTTACGACGTCTTCCACTGGAAGCCAGAATGGGCAATCTGGAAATTTAACATGTCTCATAGCAAGTCACTTGTCCACCCACACAAAACATGAAACTTACCACTTGAAATGACTAGTGAACATGGTCAGTAACTGTAGCTCTGGAAGAGGAGGTTTGTAGGTCACAAGAAAGAGAACATCACTTTCCTTCTTCAGATTGGAGCAGGAGAAAGTAGTGAGTGGGAAGTTAAACAAAGAGAGTTCCTTTGTCAGACTTTCTAAGTGATAAGCCCAAAATTACTGTTGTGAATACTTTGAAAAGATCAGGCACTGGCCTTTCCACATAGATACCTGGAAGATAGTCCCTAAAACAATATTTGCAGTCTTATCTCTTCTAATGCTGTCCTGGGCTCCAAGTGTTCATAATATCCACGTTGGCATATGTTGCAGGTTCTCCTCAGGCCAACTGTGAAGACCCTACCCTGGATCGGGTCCCCTGCCGATTAGGTGGGGGCAAGAGGCGCAGAGTCAGGACACACAGACCCCGGGAGTCTGGTAGAAGCAAGCACTAGGCGAGGTGCTGCAGTCTCGTTTAGTGCAGGAGGGGGCACGCCTTCTATTTCCCTTTTCTCCGCCCCCAAGTCCCTTTAGTCGGCATATCGTTTTCTGATCAGTCCGCGCCACGCAGTCTGTCAGCAGTCACTGGGCTCTGGAGCAGGGTACGGAGGCGTGGACTCCTTTTGGCGGGCTATTTGTGGACCAAGAAGTGAAGTGAGTTCTTGCTGAATCCCAGGGCTCTGGGTCCATGCCATCTTTGGAGGCCTCCTGCTACAGGCATATAGACGAGTTCTTGCAACATAGGTAGTGCTGATGTGTATTATAGTTACTGTCATCATTACATCATTTTATTTTCATGAATTGGGATTTTTAAATTTTATTGAAATATTGCAAATTTAATACACTATATACTAATAAAAGCACTCAAAATCTTAATCTTCTAGACTAGCATATTAAACTATTTATAGAAAAAAAATAATTGTTTAAGGCTGGAGAGATGGCTCAGCAGTTAAGAACACTGAATGTTCTTGCAGAAGACCCGGGTTTGAATCCCAGCACCCACATGGTGGCTAACAACCGTCCATAACTCCAGTTCCAGGGGATCCAATGCCTTCTTCTGACCTCCTCAGGTACTGCATAACATAGGTGCACTTATACACATGCAGGCAATACACTCATACAATAAAAATAAAATATTTAAAAATTTTTAAGCCAGGCATGGTGGTACATACCTTTAATCACAGCACTCCGGAAGCAGAGGCAAGCGGATCTCTGTGAGTTCAAAGCCAGCTGGTCTACATAGTGAGTTCCAGGTCAGCTGGAGCTACAGGGAGACCCTCTCTCAAAAAAGACAAAAACAAAAAAAGATATGTTATATGTTGACCATTGTTAAAGCCAGACAGCAAATACATAACAATCAAATATATAGTTCCCAAATAAAAACAGAAGCACATATGTATGATACTCAAGTCAGTACTGTTTGGCTGAAATATACCCATCCCAAAATACCTACAGGAGCTGGTTCCAGGAACCTCTGTGAACTCCTAAACCCAAGGCTACGCAAGTCCTTATATTTGTGTATAGTATGTATACTTAGTCATCTCGAGGTTACCTATAACACCATGTCATTACAGTCACCTGTCACTTTATAGTAGAGATAGGTTTAGGCAGTTTCACTGTCATGAGATCAAAGATGCCTATAGCATGACCAAGCAATGTTATATCGGGACCACTGGTGGTTTATGTAGTCTGTCCTTGACACACAAAACATCTGTGGTTGTTACATAGAGTATCACATCGGTTGTTAAACTGTGTTCAGGAAATGATAAAACACTGTACACGTTCAATACAGAACTTTTTTCAAATATTTCTGTCTGGTGGTTGGCCGAGAACCTGGATATGTAGGTCTGACTGTAATATATACTGATCCTATATCCTCACTAGACTGTTGCTACTACAATTAGCATCAGTCTTACAGTGTTTTAGAGGTTTGGGGCCCTTAGAAATAGTCTTGGGTGAATGTCTTATCTTCCACGTGAAGCATTTCATTCCCTTTGCCAGACTACGCACTGCTAATAGGTACTAGATGGAGAACTGTTCTTATCTCTTCATTGGCCAGTTGAGCAATGCCAAAAGCCACGAGGAAGGAGAGCAGCTATCCACACCTTCTGAGGTACTCTGCCCTATTTTATCAAACCTAGTACTTCCTCTCTAAAAAGGTACACATGTAAAGTATGGTTTATTTTTACTCTTTTTACTTCACTGTGTGGCCATTGGTTCTAAGTGTTCATTTCTGAGTACTTCCAAATAAATGTACCAAAATCTGTTATTATTTCATAGATATATTTATAAAACAGGCAACAATTTGGTAAATATGTTTAATTACAGACATTTGAAAATGCAGTCAGGGGGCTGGAGAGATGGCTCAGCAGTTAAGAGCACTGGCTGTTCTTGCAGAAGACCCAGGTTCGAATCCCAGCACCCACATGACAGCTAACTGTCCATACCTCCGGTCCTAGGGGATCCAATGCCCTCTTCTGACCTTCGAGGGCATTGTATGACATGGGTGCACTTTCATACATGCAGGCAGTACATGCATACAGATAAAATTTTAATGTTAATTTTAATTTTAAAAATGCAATCACATTTTAGTATAAGTTTTTAAGTGGAGGTAAAATCCTCCACCCTCTGACATGATGGGGGGGTATCTTAGCTATCTCATCACTGTGAGCAAATATCTGACAAAAAAAAAAAAAAAAAAAAAAACTCAAAAGGAGGGAAAAAATGTATTTTGGCTCATGATTTCAGAGACTTCAGTTTTTTCACCCTGCACACTCAGGCAGACCGGCATGGTGACAGAAACATGAAGGAGGTTTTTCACTCCTTGATGGACAGGAAGCAGAGACAAGAGAAACAGGAAGAAGCCAGGGTGAGATATAGGCCCCTATGGAGACACCCGCGGTGACCGACGTCCTCCAGCTAGACCCTACCTCCTGCTTTCCACCACTTCCCCAAAACACCACTGTAGTATGTAGCAATCAAGTCATCTCTGGAAGTACCATCACAGACACACTCAGGTGTGCAGCACTAATCTAGGCACTTCTCCTAACAAGTTGATGTCAAAAGGAGACATCAGAAGTGGTGTGTGACTTTCTCCTTTTCTAATAAGGTCTCCAATGACAAGGTGAATTCCAGAACGATGCCCACTTTGTTCACTTGGCCCCAAGGAAAAGAGCTAGGCTGGAAAGAGAGAGTTCAGTTTTTGCACTGCAGCACATTCCAAGATTTAGCGAAACCTTGAACTATGCAAATTGGATGCCAGTCAGACATGGGCCGTATAGTGTTCTCTTCACAGATTACCTGCTCCTGGAGAAAAGAAAGACACAGCAGTTATCCCCAAATAAGCTTTTGAAGACTGTTAACATCTGGGTTTCTTCCTTTTCAGATGGGGGAGTCAAATGAAGACATAGACCAAATGTTCAGCACTTTGCTGGGAGAGATGGACCTCTTGACCCAGGTAAGCTCCTCTTCTTTTTCTTTAGGACTTACTGATTTTTACTTTACCTGATCAAGTGTTTGCCTATATGTATATGTATATACCAGGTACAGACAATGCCCACAGAGGTCAGAAGAGGGCATCAGATCCCTTGGATCTAGAGATACAAACAATTGTAAGTGCTTACGGGTGTTGGGAACCAAACCCGGGTCCCCTGCAAGGGCAGTAAGTTCTCTTAACCGCTGAGCTATCTCTCCAACCCCCAAAACTCTTCTTGGTCTGCAAATTAGGGGAGAGGGAGGGGAATTTCTGCATTATATTCTATATGACAAGAGCCAGAGATTGACAGTATCATATGTTGAAAATATAGTACAAAGAACCCCAATTTACTTTTCTCCTGAATTTCTGAGTGATTACTGTGCCTATTTGCATGTTCTCTCCCTCTCTCCCATACCTTGATAAAGGTGGCATTCTAAATAAAAATTTTAAAACCAGTAACTTAACAAATGGTGTTGGGATAATGCATCTGTTAAAACCTGCAGTTCTGTCTCATACTTTACACACTAATGAGTTCCATGAATTGAAGATCTAAACATATGAAAGGGAAGAAAACACAGAAAAAAAAAAGTGCTTATAATCTTAAAATGCAGATGGCCTCTCTAAGCAACATAGAACACACATAAGCTAAAAAAGATTAAATATCTTTAAATGTAAAATGGTTTAATTTCTGCATGGTAAGAAAATAAATAATGACATTATAGTATCAAAAATAAACAGAGACCACAAAAGCCGAACTGGTGGACTGGGAATGTAGCTCAGTGGTACAGCAATAACTTAGCATACACAAAGCACTGCTTCAATTCCCAGCGCTGAAAATAACAAACTTACTTATTAGTCAGCATTGGGAAGGTCAGAACAGTAACTTCCTTGGGCAAACAAATAACTGATGAAAGTTCTTTATAGGAGAATTTCTTCTCCAAATGACTAGACATTTCTTTCTTTGATGTCATTGATTAAGTCGTTCTGAAACTACATGTAGTTCACGCCTTCATCATTACAACAGTTTCTCTGTTGATCATAAAAATTATTCCATTCTCACCATTTCCAACAAGCGTGTTTTGAAATGGTTTTTATCATTTTTTAACTTGAAATTTTCTTGAGGGAGAAAATCTCATAAACCATTTTTCAAGAACACGCTCTTTCAGAATATATTTGGAGAGAAAATGTGTACGTAATGAGTGGCTTCTGGCTTACCAAGGCAGTGTGCTGCCGGAATGGTGCCTTGTGAGTAACTCACAGAATCTGTGGGATCTGTTTTCACAGAGTTTGGGAGTCGACACTCTTCCCCCTCCTGATCCCAAACCACCCAGAGCGGAATTTAACTACAGTGTGGGTTTTAAGGATTTAAATGGTAAGCACAACTTGTTTTCTTAAGCACTTTGAAATCAGAATGACTGGAATCTGCAGGGAACTATAATCTGACTATGACTAAGGGAATTGAACATCAGGATAAATATTGCTTAAGTCCTGGATTTTGAACTGTATTTTGCTATGTTGAGATTGAATTAAGAAAGTCAGTTAGCTATTTTTGCCTATATTGAAAGGGAACACCATCCTCCATTTAACAGTCTCAGAAAAACCTCACCTTTGAAAAAGTAATGAGAGGTTCTTATTACTAAGGAGTGATTTAAAAAAACATTAGTAAGGAAATGTCCCTTCAAGGTACTTCAAAGTACACCGTATTTAAAATATTGTATTTTAATTTACAAATAATATATATTTGTGTAAAATTTATTCTTTTGAAATTTTTAATTCTCCCTAGAATTGAAGCTTTATTTTATAGAAAGACCTCTTCAATTTAGTGTAGAGATAACCATTAATTTGCATACTATTGAAACGATATTGAATCTTGAAGTCATCGCTTCAGAATTAGTAAAGCTCACTGGAACTCCCGAAAAAGATTTGCCCAAGACTCTCAGTGCCTAATGTGAAAAACAAAGTCACAGAGAAGCCCAGTTGCAGAAGTCTGGAGTTCCCGGCTTTACTTGCATTTCTCACCGAGCTCCTTTGCCTCTGTTCTTCTCAGTGTTCTTGGATGGTCCATTAAACACCAATGACTATTTCTTGATGAATTAAAATGTTCTTCTTTCAGGCATTGTCTTTTTTGTGCACTCCTCTATTTACCACATAAACTTATTCCCGCCAGTCATTTCAACCAAGATAGTGGCGGTCACGAAGTTTCCACAAAGTGGTACACTTTTGTAGAATTATGACAGCCATACATAACAGATGTATGGGCTCAAATGAGTGCTTTTTTAAAACATTTTATTTATTATTTTTATTTTATGTGTATTGCCTGCATGTACGTGAGTGCACCCGTGCCATGCAATGCCGCAGAGGTCAGAAGAGAGCTTCGGAACTGGAGTTAAGGACAGTTTGTAGCCACCATGTGGGTGCTGGGAATCAAACCTGGGTCCTCTGCAAGAGCAATGAGTGCTCTTAACGTCTGAGCCATCTCTCCATTTTTTTTTTAAGACAAGGTCTCACTAGGCAACCCCCAACTGACCTGGAACTTACTGTGTACATACCAGATTGGCCTTAGACTCACAGACATCCCCCACCTCTGCCTCCTGAGTGCTTCACATGAGTGCTTTACAATCAGTTCCTCTAAGATTTAAATTTAGTCAGCATGTCAGTTGTTGTTATCAACCATAAAGAAGTCCTGAAATCTCTAAACATGTTCATGTTAGGGCAGAGCAACGAGAAGACAGGACAGACGTGTGCAGACGACCTTCAGGATAGGGTGGCACCACCAAAATTCCTAACATTCATGGAAAATTACGTTTGTTGAGAATTAGATTAGGAAGAAGTCATGTTAAAAAGTTGATAAAATTAATTAAAAATATTTTGCCCAAGCCAGGCGAGGTGATACACACCTTTAATCCCAGCACTTGAGGCAGAGGCAGGTGGATCTCTGTGAGTTCAAGGCCAGCCTGGTCTAGATAGTGAGTTCCAGGACAGCTGGAGCTACAGGGAGACCCTGCCTCAAAAAGACCAAAAAAAAAAAAAAATTTTGCCCAAAATCATTGAGAAAGTGTAGGACTTCAGAATTGAATCCATTTCTATCTCATTCCAGATTCCTTACCGTCTAATTCTGTATTAATAAATATTAATTAATCTGTATTAACATATTTAATAAATCAATAAATCCTGAGTTCTATGTTAATGTATTAATAAGATGAATATTCAATGAATAATTTGATATATTGAATTTTCTTTAGATAGTAATTTAAGTATCTTATGGGGATTTTATTGTGAAAGTATAATTATGTAATAATAATAATTTGTGCTTTTAATATTTATTTGAAAGTTTTGCATCAACAGCCAAAATGTGATTGTGTTAGTAAATTATAAATGGACTAAAACAGTTCTATCTTTTCTCTGAAAGCATTTCAATTTAATATTACTTTATGCAAAAACAGTTTACAGTGAAACCTGTTTCACGTGTTCGGATGATCCAAACCTCGTAATGAGTTCTGTGCACTACAGCTCTTATTCCGATTGATGATGCTTGGCAATAAAGTATTTTGCAGTGTTTTCTGCTTGCTTATTACGACAGAGGCTCTATTTCTGCCACTCCTGTTTCCTCATTCTGGCTCATTCTGCACAGAGCAGCTAGCATCCTCTTCCTCATGGGTCCCTTCCATCCTGCCCACCCTTTTTGTGCTCCACTGACCATGCAGTAGATGCCTGATCACCAGTGCACTCTGCTAACATTTCACCAACACCACTCCCTTCCTCTGTTCCAGGCAGTCTGATTAACTTGCTGTAGCATACGTTGTAACATCTATGCAGCAATCTCACACTCAGAAGAAATTCTAATGAGCTCGCCTCTTTCCCATCTCACTAAAACTCCTTATCTCTTTTTCCTTATGAAAGTTCACCCATCACACTGCCTTCATAAAATTTTTACTATTTAATCTCACTTTTTTTCACTCATTAACACCTTTACTGAATAAGATTTGCTATGGTTGAATTGGAGGGCTTATCGAAGTTATGTGTTCCCTAAAGATAATATTAAACCCAGCTGATTGAAACCCACTTGCTTATAAAAATGTTCAGAAATCATGCTGTATCCTCCAGATACCTAGGGAAAGCTCACTTTCCATCCATTTCCACTTCCTCCTCCCCTACTTTTCCAAAGCCCTAAGCTCTTGCACTAAAATATTCAAGAATTCTCTACTTAGGCATCTTCTCCTGAGCTCTGACGTAACTTTATAACTCGTGTGAGATGTCTCCTTTTGCTGTTAGAAACTTTCTCACATTAAGCGCTGAATAAACGTAGCAATAATTTTTGGGGGTGTCTCTGTACTTGGGCGCATGCTGCTACATAAAAATATTTTCAACCTTTTCTAACATGTATAGATACATATATATAATACAAGTTAAATAATTATTACCATCTATGAATATATTGCTCTTAAAATTATTTTCAGTTTTTCCAGATGCAAATAGTTGAGATTTTTAAATCATTAATGTGATTTTTTTACTAGAGTCCTTAAATGCACTGGAAGACCAAGATTTAGATGCCCTCATGGCAGATTTGGTGGCCGATATAAGTGAAGCTGAGCAGAGGACAATCCAGGCCCAGAAGGAATTTTCTCAGAATCAGCACCACTCCACCCCTCCCGAGGCATCAGATTGCAGGGGTGCAGCCTCACTTAGTTATGGAGCAGACACCACTGTAGTTAGTGTTAGCCCCTATGAGGATGACTTACCACCTCCACCAGCAGATCCCATGTTAGACCTTCCACTGCCTCCACCACCTCCTGAGCCTCTCTCTCAGGTAAGTATGTAGAGCCCAAGATGGTGGAACATTGACCTCTGCTGCCTCTCATTATGAACTTTCTCTGAACTGACAATTACATACATAAGTCTGTGTGGCTGGGGCTCTAAGATACTAAGAAAAATACTCAAGGGTGTTCAATATGTTTATTGCAAACCCAGCAAGCCTTCCATAAACAAGACACAAGGTGTTGTCTCAGCCTGTTTTCTGTTGCTACAACTGAATACTGTAGACTGGGTAATGCAGAAAGAATAGAGGTTTATTTTGCTTAAAGGTTGGGAAGTACGAGAGTCTGGTTCTGGTATCTATCTGGTTTATAGTAAGGACTTTCTGCTCATGACTCAGTCACCTTTTAAAGATTCCACTTGGCCCCAGCTTCACAATGAAAATTAAATTCAACATGAGTTTTGGTGGCGACATTTAAGCTAGAGCAATTGGCTATGGCTTAAACGTATAGGGCCAAATGTAGTAATTACCATAGTTTGGCTAAAAGAAATATTGGCATACACACACTCCTTAACAATATTCAGACTTTGAGGGACATGTTTTATTAACCTTGCATGGACTGTGAAACTAATTTATGCATTTCCCTGGTACCAGTGTAGAACATAGAAAATAACAGGTCTTCACTGAACATGCCTTAAGTTGCACTAAGGTGAATCATGTTGTCTCTGGAAGCCCTGGTCAGTAGGGCAAAGAGAGATAAATATATCACTTGGGATGTCTTAATTGGGGAGGGTGTTGTAAAGGCAGATAGGCAATGAATTCTTGATAGTTATAGTTCTGAACTTTGGAAAATAACTGAAAATTTTAGATTGTCACTATTTGGCATGTTAACTCACATGTCCCTCAAAAAAAAAAAAGTAAAAATAGCACTTTGAAAAATTTCTCTTAAGTGGGCCCCTTAAAAAATATTTCGAACTAAGAACCCAGCTCAATGTTCTATGACTTCCAACACTGATTATGCTGTTATGAGTGAACTGCCAGTTCCTACAGTATGTTTTGAATGAGTAAGACTTTAAGTATAAATCCAATGCTAAACCATACTCCATCACACTCACTGTTCTACTAAATCCTCTGAAAATTGGTGATTAACAGAGCTCTCAGCTCTGGGTTCCTCAAGACTTCATGGTGTGAATTCCTTGAAAGTAAATACAAAGTTGGATGCACAAATGGAGACCTACAGAGTTCCTCCGTGTCCTAAAGCATCTTGGCATTCAAAAGCATTTTAAGAACCAGTGGTATGAAAAGACATATGTCTACTTTCAAAGAATAGTATGTAACCAGAACAGTTCATTTCTGTATGATGGTAAGTAAAGAAGAAAGCTGTAATGGTGCTTTTATCAGAATATGATAAAAGCCAAAGGAAATGGGGCTCATAAAATAACTTCACACACTTTTCTATGTTTTTGTGTGTGCTTATCCCTGGGGTTTTATTTGTTTTGTTTTGGAGGTTTTGTGATTTATAAGGTTATGTTTTAACTTGTCTTAATTCTAGGGAGTTCAGATTTAGGAACCTTTTAAAGAGTCTAATAAAAACTAAGAATCCCCCAATAGCTATTATAATCTGAGGGGATGTATATAATTTTAAGAAGTGCTCAAATCCCTTGAGATTGCTCTATTTATAGATTCTGTAGCTTGTTCCCTCATTTTGTATACTGAGCATAGAGTATTGCACTGTAAATATGTGATACAATTGTTGAGGTCATAATTTCATCTCTTAGGTTGAAATCCCCAAAGTTATAGACAGTGGCTGCTTCCCATATCATTGGGTTGAACATTTTGGTCATAGGCATTTAAATTCTGAGAATGGAGTGAGTAAAATCAGGAACTTTGGTGGTTACTAACATAAAGCAACCGGACACAGGCAGTAGGACAAGCATTTACTTGCTGACGTCATTTAATGGAATTTGTTGAACACCTTATCATCTTACAGGAAGAAGAGGAAGCCCAGGCAAAGGCTGATAAAATTAAGCTAGCATTGGAAAAACTGAAGGAGGCCAAGGTTAAGAAGGTAAATTATCACTTTTGTAAGGTGGAGGGGGGAGTTAAATTAATGACATCGTATTATAGTTGCTGGTAAAAATTAAAATTTCAGGTGTCCCTACGGATATAGGTCAGTGGTCAAGCATCTGCCTCATACACAAGACCCTGGATTTAATATTATCACCGAAAAAAGAAAACAAATCAAGGGGCCCATTCCACTTAATTGCCATTCTTAAAGAATTCTCTGGACAAAGTTAAACAACATCGTTGTTACCTGTATAGCTTCAGTCAGTTCGCTTGTGCTTTCTAGATAGGGACCCTGCATCCATTTCTCGTAAGGGCTTTCTGCTGCATGGTAAGAAAGATAGCAAAGAGGATCCTGTGGTAAGACAGACCGAGATGCCATCAGGACAGAAGTTTTCCTTGCTGGTACATGATTTATGTTGTTGATGGTTTACATATAATTTTTTCTGTCAACTAGGATAATGGGGTTAAAATTTCCCTGTAACAAGAAAGGAAAAGGCCTTTAGATTTGCTTCCATACAGGCAGGGTCTCCTTCTACTCTATTTAGAGAATTTAAAACCAAATGTGTGCATCCTACGGTCCCTCTCTTGAGGGATACGCTCCAGGGCTTTCAACAGCTCTCTGTTTATAGCAGGTGGAGCCACCTTCTTGGCATGCTTTAATTGGGTCAGAGCTCAGCTTCCCTTGGCCTCACATTTCCATAGTTGCTTTTGTATATTTTTCACACCTCCTGGGGCAGCCTCAAACCCTGCTCCCTGCCTAGTAGTCTCAAGTCATCTCCCCGGGAATCAAATGTTGGTTCTCCTATTAATCTAGACTTTAGTATTCATACATTTTGAATGATTTGTTCCTAACTTTTCCTGTAAGCCTATAATTTTATTGAACTTTTTTTTTTGAAGAGCATAGGTTTTTGGTTGGTTGGTTGGTTGGTTGGTTTTAAGACAGGGTCTCCCTGTAGCCCCAGCTGGCCTGAAACTTGCTATGTAGACCAGGATGACCTAGATCTTACAGCTATCCACCTGCCTCTGTCTCCCTCCAAGAGCTGGGACTAAAGGCTGAGCCACCACGTCCAACTAGAGCATAGTTTTGTTTTGTTTTGTGTTTCAGGAACATATGTATTGTGTTATAGTAGAAATATCTGCAGCTAACCTGATTAGAAGATTGTATCTAATAATAAAATGTTAGTAATTGTTAATTTGGTTAATTAACAGGGAATTAATCAGTCTTCATCTCATTTCAATTCTTGAAGCATTTGTCATCTCTGAGACTTGTTACTAACTTTAAGTTGAGTAGACGTCCCTTTTCACATATGGTCTTTTTAAATTTTTTATTGAACTTGTATGCATTTCATAATATATCTTGATCCTATTTTGGCCCCCTCCCCTATTTGCACCCCCCATAGCCCACTTACTGGATTTCATGCATTCTGTCAAAAATTTTAAGGCCTATTAGGTCAAATTTGTGTCCCCAGATGTCCCTCAGTGTTAGTCCATCCACTGGTGCCTGTTTAGCCTGTCTAGCATCACTCCCTTAAAGAAAGCCAACTCACTCTCTCTCACCGAGCAGTGATCATATATGGTCTTACACTTTATATTTTCATGGCATCTGCCACAATTCTGGAACAAAGGAATTCAGTACATGATGATTAATTCAATAAGTATTCCTTGATTGTCCCCAGATTCAGACTTTCAAGGTTCATATAGGAAGGTCTTTTCGAAATTGATCTGGTTCCATTCATTGCAAACATTAATCAACTTCTTTTTTTATTTTTTTTATTTTTTTAATGTGAATGAGTGTTCTGCTTGTATGTGTACCAAGTGCATGCAGTGCCTGCAGAGGCCAGAATAGGGTGTCAGATCCCCTAGAACTGGAATTACAGACAGTTGTTAGCCACCATGTGGATGCTGGGAACAGAACCCAGGTCCTCTTCAAGAGTAGCCAGTGCTCTAAACTGCTGAGCCATCTCTCCAGTCCCCATTAATCAACCTCCTAATCATTATTCTCTCTTATTTTTTGAATATATGTAAGTCAGTTTTTCTTATGGTAACAAACACCTGAGATAAACAGCTGTATTTGTTACTTTTTTCATTGCTGTGACAAAATATCTGACAAAAGTAACTTTAAAATGGAAGGAATCATTTTGGCTCACAGTGTGAGGGTGCAGTCCATCATTAGCAGAAGGTGCAGAAGCAAGACCAGCACTAGCTGTGGCATCAGGAGCATGCGGTAACTGGTTACATTGCATCTCAGTAAGGAAGCAGAGATACTAGAGCACTGAGCCTGTCAGGTACAGTCATAACCATTACAGTATATATCCTGTATTCCTGCCTGAGATGAGGGTGAGCTGCCACGCTGCTGAGACCAGTCTCTCCATTGAACTCCTGTGCCCCTTCTCTGCCCTGGTCTCCACAGCTTGAGAGTCTCCAGTGGCTGCCCATCTTGCACGGTGAAGCCAAATCACTCACTGTGGCCTACTGTCCCTCTGTGATGTGGCTGCCCTGGCCTTATCTCTAATACACTCTGTCCTCATTCACTCCATTGTAGCTACCTGTCCTCATAGCTGTTCCTCAAACACTCCAGGCAAGCCTTTACACCTATCTATCTCTCCCACCTCTGACTCAGACTCTCACTGGGTGGTTTGCTATCCCTCCCTATAGCATTTAGTCACCTTCTGGGTGAGGATGTCCCTGTCACTGCACACATTCACCCTTAAATGCTCTTCTCTATTTTTCTCCTGTGTTTTTATCACCATGTGCTGTATTAGCCACTCATACATGACCCACATCCCCTCTATCCCACGTATAGAAACTGCTCTAGGGACTTGGTCCTCTTTGTCCATGTGTTACTGTGTTAGAGGAGATAGCAGGGGTGCAAAATGGTGAACACTTGAGATCATAACTTGTGTTGAGTTAAATTCTAGTGAAAGAAGCAAGTTCTATGAAAAAGATTAAACCAGGCTGGGCATGGTGGTCCCTGCCTCTAATTCCATCTCTCAGAGGCCAGAAGCAAGAGAATTGTAGTAGAATTCAAAGCCAGCCTGGACTGCAACAGTACGCCCCAGACCCAGCCAGGACTACACAGCAAGATCCTGTCTAGGAAAGCAGAAGCTGTGGTGGAGAGTGCCCAGGCCACTCTTCAGACCAGACACTGTGATAGAGAGTGCCCAGGCCACTCTGAAAAGACACCTCCTGATCAAAGAGCTCAGTGACAGAAATAGCTGTGTAGCGGGTGGCAGCAGGAGGTGTTTTTTAAGGCAAGACCTTGTCTTTGAGACAGCACATCAAGAACACAACTGATCCGCACAGTGATCTGCAATCCACATTTAAAGAGAACAACTGTGAGGCTCTCACATGCAGTCTACAACGTGTATTTAAAAGGCAGACAGAATAATTGTGGGAAAGCTGAGACAGGAAGATCTCAAGTTCAGGGACAGCCTGAGTCAAACAGAGAGACCCTGTCTCATAAAAACCCAAGGGTTGTTTTTCTACCTGAAGTACTTTGTTTTTAAGTACTCAGTGGGATGTTGACATTAATTGGAATTGTAAATAATGCAAATAGCTTATGCTGCAAAACTTTTGAAACCAGAGACACAATCTGACTAATTCATTAATTTAATTTGTTCTAAAGCTCTGAGACAGAAGAACAATTCCATTTGAAAATCTTATTATAGAAAAAAAATATTGCACATGATTTAGCTTTAGGATATGTTGCAAGTAACAACTTGCAAATGAAAATGAGATTTCATTCCTAAATCATTTTTCCCCATAGAATATCTTGTGATAAATCACATACCGTAGCTGTGATTTAGTGTTATTCCATGTTGGTATGTATCTGCTCCTTCGCTTGTAAATCTAGTAGAAAGTTGAAAAATAGTAAATATGATTTCTTCCTATTCAAAAATCACACTTTCTTTATTTTATGTTTTCTAAATTCTGCAATTATGAATATTCATAATACATATGGATTAAATCTAATTCGTCATTTCTGCCAAAAGATACTTCTTCCATCATTATGAAACTATGTAGCTTAGTAATTTTTCCCTCCCTGTAAAAACGAAAGAAAAAAGAACATGTTTTGTTTTCTAAAGCATTTCTAACCAGGAATGAAATGTGGTCCAATATGTTTAATTTTTTCCATCAGAAATACTGTTTTCTAAGCTTTAATATTAGTAATGTTTCCTAGGACATGAAACTAGTTTATAGCAGTAATTCCCAGTGGAGAACTTGTATGCCTTCCACAGAAAAACACAAAGAGCTCCCTGTGTGAGGGATTTTTCTTATACAGTCCTTCATGCCCTATGTCTAAACTTGATGAATACCTTTGACATCATAGTACTTGTGCCTATCATTTTAAATATTTCAAAAGGACAAACAAGATACATGCAACATTCCAGCTACAGATTGGCCTACAGGTTTTCAGAGGATAAATTTTAAAAAATTTATTTATCAGGCAAGATCTAATTTGATGGATCCCTGGAGAAGTATTTTCACTACTCCCATGTCTACATTTTGAGGTTGGGATGTGCATGTATTGGGAAGAGGAGGCACTTAGTGATTCACCCAAGGTCACTGCCTGCTCCTCTCCAGACAGACACATATACATGCTGTCAGTTGCTGTCAATGACTCCACACAGTGATCTGCAGGACCTACACTGCTCCTTCTGTCACTCATTACAGTGTCAAGGGAAGGTGAGATGGTCATGGGGCAGGAAGTTGCTATGGGCCTAATCCATAACTTCCCCTGTCCAGTCCATTCAGTCACTTCTCAGGATCATTCACTGCACTCTTTGGAGTGATCCTCACTGCACTCTGGACCATCAAAGAATTGCACATGAGCTTCCAGGGACGGAGGCATAGGCCTATAATCTCCTCAGGCAGGAGGCTCAGGCAGGAAGATAGTAAGTTGGACTATGTAGTGAATCTGAGCTTAGCCTGAACTAGAGTAAGACTCAAATAATAATAATAATAATTGTAGATGACCCAACTAGTTCTTCCCTGATGTCTTTAGACTCTTGAGCTGCAGCAAATGAAACCCAACTGCAGCTAAACAAATGAGGGTCTAACCACTCCAGCCCCTCCCTTGTGATGTCAGACCCTTGAAACAATGGACCAAACGAATTAAAATTTCCCCAATAATCCCAAACTAGGAGAAAGGAAAGAATTAACCCTGGTGCCAGCCTGTTCTGTTTTCTTTCTGTTGCTATGATAAAACACTCTGATCAAAAACAACTTGGGGAGGAATAGGGTTTATTTGATTTGTACTTCCAGATCACAGTCCATCACTGAGGGAAGTCAGGACAGAAATGCAAGGCAGGAACCATGGAGGACCTCTGCTTGCTGGCTCATTCACAGGCTCACTCATAGGCTCACATGAATCTAGTTTTTTTTTTTTTTTTTATATAGCCAGGACCATCTGCTGTCCACTGTGGGCTGGGCCCTCCTACATCCATTAAGACAATCAAGAAAATCCCTCGCAGTCATGCCCAACCTGCTAAAGACAGTTACTCAACTGAGACTCCTTTTTCAGGTGATTGTAGGCTGTTGGAAGTTGACAGTTAATGCTAACCAGGATACAGTGAGAGGAAGAAAGACATTTCTTTCTTTTCTGGAAGAATTTTCTCCCAGAAAGAAATTTCACATAGTTATTATAACCTGTGAGATCACCTTGCAGGACAGACAGTAGCCAAAACATTAACAAATCAAAGACGGACAAAACCACACCTTAACCAGGACTGCTTAATTATGCATACCTCTTACCCTCTATTCAAACTTAAACCTCATGCCAGTACCCTATAGACTAACTGGGGGTGATCACTGAACGCTTTTATTTCTTACTCTTCCCAGTGTGGCCACAGTGAATAAGTCCCCTTTCTCTGTTTTTCATTGTTAACTTGTCTCTTTAATTGGCATGCTGGGGACAACTCACTGAAGCTACCAGACTTTCATCCTAAAAGTTTGTTACAAGAGGACTTGGAGCATGGCTTTTAATCAAGAAGTGCTACTGGCCTTAAGAATGAAATGGGAACAAGAGACAGAAGGATGTTGGGAAAGCAAGAAGTCAGCACATCTTTAGTTTTGTTTTTCTGTCTCCCCTGCCAGAATTCAGTGCCTTGAAATTAGGTCAGGGGCTTTGATTATTGTTTGTTTTCTGTTTTGTGAATTTCTTTCTCCACTTCTGAATTCCTAGCATACAAGGGAGTTCACAATGAAGTTACAGGATACATTCTTTTTTTCTTTTTTTAAATATTTTATTTATTATTTTTATTTTATGTATATAAGTGTGTTGCCTGCATGTATGTGAGTGGACCCCTGTCGTGCAATGCCGCAGAGGTCAGAAGAGAGCTTCCTTGAAGCTGGAGTTAAAGACGGTTTGTAGCTACCATGTGGGTGCTGGGAATTGAACCCAGGTCCTCTGCAAAAGCAGTCAGTGCTCTTAACCACTGAGCCATCTCTCTAGCCCCAGGATACATTCTTTTTTAAGTATATTTTTCATCTATTCTTTGAGAATTCATACATATATACAATGTATATTTTTTATCCTATCCACCCCTCACTCTCCATCCAACCCTTCCCAGACCCCCATACTATGCCCCCTCCCAACTTTATGTACTCTTTTAACCCATTGAATCCCATTAGGGCTGCCCATAGGTACGTGGGTATAGGCCCATGGGATCATAGGCAACCTACAAGGGACCGTATTCCTGAAGAAAACTGACTCTCCCAGTTGATAGTTATCTACCAACCACCAGCAGTTCACATGATAAAGATGACTCGTTACATTTAAGGCTGGCACTGCATGGTCACTTATTCTCTGCACTTTGACCAGTTGTGAGTCTCTGTATTAACATTTACTGCAAAAAGAAGTTTCTCTGATGAGAATCAAAAACTGTACTAATCTATGGGTATAAAGATAAGTATTTAGGGCAGCTTGATGCTACCTCCATTTAGCAAAACAATAGTAGTAGGCTCTCCCCTAGGGTGTATGACCTCCCCAGCCACAGGTGCTTGGTATGGTCTGCAGTATCAAGCATGCATTCTGTCCCATGGATTAGGCCTTAACTCCAATCAGAATGTGGTTGGTTACCCCCATAACACTCATGTCACTAAGCCACAGGGTAAGAAAAGTCATCAACCAGGAAACCTGTGAATTACAGTAACAAGCAGCCCGGCAAGGTATGCACAAGATGCCTTCTTAACTTACATTGGCCGAAACATGAATGTCCCCATTCCAAACTTGGTAGTATTCCCTAGCTGCTGAAATTGACTGCTCTGTGGCTCTGTTTTCAGCTTGTGGTCAAGGTGCATATGGATGACAACAGCACTAAGTCCCTGATGGTGGATGAGCGACAGTTGGCCCGGGATGTTCTGGATAATCTCTTTGAAAAAACTCATTGTGACTACAATGTGGACTGGTGCCTTTATGAAATATACCCTGAATTACAAATCGGTAAGCCTCTTCCCCAAGTCTGAGCTATACCTCAAAAGCCTGGATGGTCTACTTTGTTATGGGCTTTGGTTTGTTCCTAAAACTTTGATTCAAGGATCTCAAGACATGGTGCATGCCATGGTCCTCCTGTGAGATGAGTGCTTTCCTCATGGCTTCTTCATGATAGACACTCAGAGGGTGGAGGGTGGAGAGTGGGACCCTGGGGGATATGTGCGTTATTACTGTTGCTAGTGGCTCCAAAAGGGCAAGAAAGGGGCAGCATGGTTCTTCCTGGTGCAAGCAATGGAAGCTGAGAAGGTTGTGGGAGAGCCTAGGTATCTGTCAGTGAATGTCCCTTTAGAGACTCCCTCCTTGAAGCGTAGTGTGACTGCCACAGACCTCATGTCTGTGCTTACATCCCTTCCTCCCTCCCAACTTGCCTGATCATCAGACTTTGCCAGTGGAAGAGGCTTAGCCCAAGACAGGGATAGAAATCAATGCGGTTTTTTTCCTTTCAGAAATCAAAGAAATTCTCTGTTCCTTCCCATTCATCCTCAGGGTAACATTGTATCCTAAGAGAGCTATATAGAACCCAGGACTGCCTGCTTTCTGGGCTTGAAGGCAATTTTTCCTATAGAAATGGTCTGCATTAAAACAACTCCTTAATCAGGCCATTGGAGGCACAGGCCTGTAACCCCTATGCTAAAGAGGCTGAGGCAGGAGGATTAAGAGTCCCAGGTCAGCCTGGGCTACACAGGGAGACCCTGTCTCAAAACAAACACAGAAAAAAGCAAACAACAACAAATCAGAATCTTTGAAGTCTTCTTTAACTCTGAGTCAGAAAAAGAAAGAAAAACCTTCCTTTGCCTTTAAGTTTGGTCCAGGTATTCATCTATCGTGTTTAGAGTTTTAAGGAGTGATACTGTGGTTCTTAAAATTTCATTCAAAATAGCTAAACGATCATTGCCCTTTTGTCCTCCCATAAAAACAATATTTCCCCCTCTTTACAGCAATTTAAAGGGAAAAAATGTTAACACAAAAGAGCATGATGACACCCAGGCATGGTGGTGAACACCTTTGATCTCAGCATTCAGGTGGAGGCAGGCAAATCTCTGTGAGATCAGGCTAGCCTGGTCTACATAGCAGTTCCAGGCCAGCTGGGCTACAGGGAAACCTGTCTCAAAATTTAAAAAAAAAGTATGATAACTATTGCCAAAGTATTGTAATTTCTGCCATCTGTAATATTGCTTATGTAAATGAATTCAAAACCTGACACTGTCATGTAAATAAATTTAGATAAAGCAGGAAAGATGTGATGTTGTTATAGGGACAGATGTGAGTCTAGAGGGAAGGGGCTGATGTTCCCAGGTGCTTTAGCCTCTGTACAATGAACCATAGAGAGACACACTGATAGTAACAGGAAAGGAGACAGTTAAGGGAGAGATACAGAGGACCCGTGCCTCCCCTATGGCCTGTCTCCAAGAGAACAAGACAGAAAAGAAGGAGGTAAGGGAGGTTGTCGGTGACCTTTTATGGATCATTAACATAGGACCTGTCTCCCCCCCGCCCCCCGCCCAGTTTATACACCTATCAACTTTTCAGAGCATGTGCTCTTGGCTAAATAAAGCCCAGGTAAGGACTGTCAGTCTTTCCTGGGCTGCCCCCAATCCTATGTTAATCTCTGGAATTTCCTCTTCTATTTTCCTGCCTCAATAGGACATCATGTAACAATTAGGAGTTTTAGAACCTTGTGAAACACTGTGCTTAACTCAATAATGACCTATTTCTCAGTTGAAAACCCTGATGACTTCAGTCTAAAAGAGTACATTTTATTTCATCAGAGAGAATTTTTGAAGACCATGAAAATGTTGTTGAAGTTTTATCAGACTGGACAAGAGACACCGAAAACAAAGTACTGTTTTTGGAGAAAGAGGAAAAATATGCTGTGTTTAAAAACCCTCAGGTAAGGTGACTTATATATCATTAATCTATGTAAAGTATGATGGCATTCTTATCACCTGTGCTAGTGCAATTACTGTCTCATGAAATCATCCTCTCATGGAAGATCACAAGTATATTCTTTTCAAATAAACACAAACAGACTCAGAGCTCTTGGAAATATTTAGAAAGAAAAATACGTTTTTTCTTTTTTTCATTCAAAATCCAAAGCACATCTATCTGTTGTTGTCTAACCTCCCTCCTCTGTTTGAATTTCCATTAGGCTCCATTCTTCCACTATGCCTTGATATATTATAGATTATTGATTTTTCCTACTACAAAGTGGCTCTTTTTCCTAAGGTTCATATTTGGTGTTTATGGGGTACTGGGATAACTAAAGGGCATGTTACTAGGAGGTCTGAGATCCATAACCAGCCACCATGTAAAAAGAAAACTGAGAGAAAAATGATGAAGACAGAAAAGTTTATTTAGTTTTACACTTTATAGAAAAGATTAAACAAAAGCCAAAAATTCTGCATATGTAGATTTAGTCAGAGGTGTGTGAAATCTGTTCCTTTGCCTTCTCTGTACCTTTCACTTATTATCCTGTTTCTCTGAGTAGCAGATTTCACATCCTCACAAAGCTGCTGAGTCTCCTGTTCCTCCCCGGCACCATCTAGACCAAAGGCTAACTCAGAACAGCTGTATGTACTTGCTGAGCTCTGTTTTATAGTACCAAGTACTAGTGTACCCTTATAAGACAGAATAAAAATGTCCCTGTCTGTCCCAATCATATTCTTTAAGGAAATTCTAAGAATATTACAGATGAGAGATCTCCAGGGTCATCCAGACATCTTTTCATTATACAGGTGAGGACACCTAGTCTCGCATCACTAAGGGCAGAATTGGGAGAGTCCAAGGCAGGTCACTTATGGGAGAAGGTTCTTTCCCCTGCTGTTAGTTTTGTCCTTGCTATGACCTAAGAGAAAGAGTTTATTAGCTCACAGTTTCTGAGGTTTCATCAAGGTAGGGAAGGCACAGCAGAGCCTTCACATCTCGTTGGACAGGAAGCAGAGTAGACTAGTCACAGAAAAAGGCTGAAAATGCAAGATGGGGCCCCAAACACACACCCTCAGGGACCTACTTCCTCCAAGCAGGGCCCACCTTCTGTAGTTCCACCAGTCTATTCCCAATAGTGTATTCAGAGTCTGAATCCATCAAGTGATTAGTCCACTCATTAGGTCAGAGCCCTTATGACTAACTGGCTCTAGAAATGCCCAAACAGACACACTCAGTGTTCTTTTAAAAAGCCCCTAAGTATCTCCATCCAATCAGGTTGACAAGCTTAACTATCACATGCCTGTGCTTTGCTATTTTCTGGGGGGTCCTTCTGGGGTTATATGGTAGCCAAGAACAACAAAGCAATTAATAAATATCAGACACTAAAGTGGCAAGTCTTCAACCTGTAACTGCCTTATTATTCATTTTTAATGCTTGTGTTAGTAAGGGTACTGAATCATCTGCTACAACAAAGCGTTCCCATTGTTTCTAGCCTAATGGAAAGAAAAACAGATAAGTCCCCTTAGGCAACAGATGCTTGCTTTGGTACTTGTAGGAAATAAATCTTGGGATGTTTGCTACTATAGTTTGGATATGAAGCATCCCCGCCAAAGGCTCGTGTGTTGAAGGCTTGGTCTGTAGCTGGTTGTGCTGTGGAGAGGCGACTAGACCATGAGGGCACTAAATAGCATCATCCATAGGTTTATCCACTGAGGAGTTAAGTTCATATTCGATGAATTTTTAGGAGGTGGGGCCAGGCCGTAAGTAGGTCATAGGGCTGTGCCTTTAAGGGATGTTATCTTGGCCATGGCCCCTTCCTGTCTGTCTCTGCTTTCTGGTTCTCCATGAGGTAAGCAGCTTTTTCCCCAACACCTTTCTGCCATGCTGTATCTGCCTAGCAACAGGACCAAATGCAAGGGAGCCAAATCCCCTGAGATCACAAGTCAAAATAAAGTCTTCCTCCTTTGAAAAAAATAATAATAAAGCATTCCCTAAATCAATATTCCTAACAAACTGGAAGCTTCTTTCTTCCTCATACAAAAGTGAATGAATTTAGTTCGACGTCTCTGCCATCCTCAGCATTTGACTTCTATGTGTCCAAGACAGCTTTTCTGATTGGCCATTTTCTAGTTGGTAGGAAAGAAGAGAAGACTGGAGAATGTATAATCATTTTTTTTTTAGACACCATTGGCTGGAACTTAGTTACATGTGATTCTGAGCTATAAGAGAAGCTGAAGAATGTGATATCTACATGAACAACTACATGCACAGCTAAAAGTAGGGACCCATATTCAAGCCCACCATTTCATATAACTTCTGCAAAACATCCTTCATATTGAGTCCATAAAATATGGCCGAGGAATTGGGCAGCATGTCCATTGTTTGAGTTGAGGAGGGGCGCATAGAGTTTGCCATGGTGTTTGATGAATTCGTGCTCAGAGCATAGCAATATAATATATGGATCTATGAAAATGAATATTTCTCTTTAACGAGCTCCTGCATTCAGATGCAAAGCATTCATGCAGTTCCTTCTGCCCCTCCCAGGCTTTACTCACCGTCATAAAGGCAGTTGGAACTCTGATCTTTCCTACCTTCGTTTTTCCTCTTTTTGGACTTGATATGAACTAGAATAAAATCACACTTCAGTTTTGTGCTTAGCTTTTTTTCCATTTAACTTTCATTCACGTTGCTGCTTATGCAGAAGTTTATTCTTTTTCCTTGCCATTTACTATTCCATTGTGACTAAACAAGAATACATGCATTCATTGTGTCGTTGACTGACATGTGATTGGTTTCTAGCTTGAGGTTTAAACAGTAATGCTGGTGAGAATATCTTGTTCATGTTTTTTGATGAACATATGCAGACATTTCTGTTGCATAGATGCCGATGAATGAAATTGTTTGAACATAGATTATGTTTATGTGGCAGATTCCCATGAGCAGTTCTCTGGATTCTTTAGGTTTGCTCTTCCTTGACCACTGCATGAAAACTCCTATGGTTCTGAATCCTTGGCAGCGATAGGTGTTGCCTCTTTTTTTTTTTTTCTATTCACATAATATCTTTATTTCTGGAATGCAGTATTTTCCTAGAGTACTTCATAGCCCTCTTACTCAAAACTATGCATTTATTGTTCTTTTTATTGGTGTTTTGAAGTTGTTAACGGTTGTTGTTCTGCATCTTAACAAAATGGTTATCAGGCCTGATGTGCTGGGAAAGTCCTCCATGGTTCTCACTCTCCCACACTTGTTAGGCATGGCGAGAACTCAAGACTGCCTTTCACTGGGGCCGTCTCTCAGGACTGAGTTTGCAGTGAGCATCTTTGAGGGACGAGGCATGCCTCCTTCCAGGACAAAGAGAAGTAAGTGTGCTTCTGTTAGTGATAAAAATCAGCAAATCTTCCTTAGAACTCCTCAGCTATGACGGAAGCCCACTGTATGTGCAGATGGCCACATTGTGTTGGATCCATGGCAATGAGGACAAGGGGAACCAACAAAAACATGCTGATGTTGGGGCCTTTCTGTGCCATGAGTAGTGGTCTTTTGTTCCTGTCTCTGGGGTCCATGTCCTCTGCCGGCATCTATGAAGCAGGAAGAAACTAATCTACTAGCTGGGAAGAAAAAATCACTATCAGACCCAACAGCATGCACCTAGAGCATATGTCTAAACTCACCATGGATTATAGAAAACTACTGACTGTGCGGGGATGCAAGAATCCCTTCTCATATGTAAGAATTTTGTCTCACAACTTAAAACATTCATTTTGTTGAAACCTAGTTTTTATAAAAGTTTGGTTTCACATAAAATATGGTAGAAAAAAGTTACCTTAAAATATTTGTGAATTATGAAATAAGTGTCAACATTTCCCTCCCTATAGCAAAATATTATACATGTACTTATATGAATCGTCAGTATACAAAAGTGTGTATACAATCCATTTATTATCCACTAGTATTTCTCAGAGTGTTTTGTGAACTAGCAAATGAGCATAAGCATTCTGTGGGACTGTTCTTAAATGAGACAGATTTTACAGAGAACCAGTACTCTATACAACAGATATGTTCAGGACAAAAAAATCCTTGGCAGCAATCAGTGTTGCTTTTTTAAAAACTTGTTTTGGTAGATTTTTAATAGTATGTCCTATGGTTCTAAGTTGAATTTTTTTCAGTGCCCAATGAGTTTTCAAAAACGTCTTGTCCATTTGAAAGTCTAGTTTTGTGCAGTCTGTCTTCAAGTTCTTTTCCAGTGTCCCTGCCCCCAACCTGTTTCCTCCAGCTCAGTTAGTATCAACAAATATCCAAAGGCAAGCACCATCCTCTGAAGGTCTGGATTTCTCTCTGTGGTTCCTATCTGTCTTGGCTCTTGACCTCTGAAGACCTTCTTTACAGCTCTCCAACACTCACACAGATGTTTTATTTGTTTTTTTGTTGTTGCTGTTGTTTTGTGGGTTTTTTTTTTTTTTGTCTTATACAAATATTTTAAATAAATATGGCCAGGACTGAGAAGCTGAGAAAGCCCTTGATGGGATGAAGGATTATTAAAGAAACAATGGGAAAGAAATGCTTTCTATAGCAACAATTTAGATTTTGAATAGATTTTAGATTTAGATTTCTGATAAGCACAAATAAAAGCATATAGAGTCGGGACAAATAAAAGAATTTCATCGTCCTTGTCAGTATAGTGGTGAGTATCCCTCCTGTCATGCAGGATTCCAGGGTTCAGTTCCCTGATGGGGAGGTAAGTCACACTTTTCATACATGACAGGGTGCACTTACACACATGCAGGCAATACACTCATACACATAAAATGAAAATAATAAAGAAAAAAATTGTTTTAATAATTCCTTGGGACCAGAGAGATGGCTCAGCAGTTAAGAGCATTGGTTGCTCTTGCAGAGGACCCGGGTTTGATTCCCAGCACCCACATGGCAGCTAACAACCATCTGTAACTCCAGTTCCAGGGGACT